GGGGGGGGGGACGGATTGAGTGGGGGGCGGCGGGTGAGGGGCGCTAACGGCCGCCTCCAGCGAGCAAGCAGCTCGTCCGCGCCTCGGCACACGCGTAAAACTGTCATCCCGGCGGCCGTGAGGAGCCGGCGGCGCCAGAGGGGTGTGCCTCAGGGGGGCCCGGGCTCGCTGAGCGCTGGCGGTGGCCGCTGAGCCTTCTCCTGGGAAAAGGGGTCGTTTGGTTATTTCTGAGCAAACCCTCGAACTCGGAGGTACAAAGCATCGTGTGTTCAGAATGGTATTAAGATATGATAAAATGTAATAGAAGTATTTTGATACCAGAGTTGGCACTGCGATGAGGGAGGGTATCACAGGGGAGACGAGCTTTCAGTAAAGGTATAATGTAGATGCCGAATTTTGTCCTGCCCCCTTCCTGGAAAGGGAAGAGATGTGGCACAACTTGGAGCTAACATGTTAACCTTAAACAGAGCATCTTTCCCCGTGGCTCTGTCTGTGCTGGCATAGCATTATTCATGGTAACTCTTACAGAATTTTTCTTTCTGTTTTTCTGTTGCGTTTTTTTGTTTTGTTTTATTTTTCTTTTTTTAGAGCATAGAAGGCTGTTGCTGAGAGGGGACTTCAGGGAGCAGTGGCAGAGCTCTGGGAGAGGAGTGGAGAATGACTCAGCAGGGAGCTGTTCTTCAGGGTTACAATAATGAACTAGTGAAATGCATTGAAGACTTATGTATGCAAAAAGAAGAGCTGAACAAACAAATCCAGCAAGCAGAAGAGGAAAAAAATAAACTCCAGCATGAAATCCAAGTCCTGAGTGAACAACTGGAGTGTGTATGTGAAAATCTGGCCCAAAAGGTAGCTTCACGGAATGAGCTTGATAAGATTCTTGCTGAAACTGAAGCTGCTTACATGAAGATTTTGGATAGTTCTAGAACTTTACTTAATGTCCTGAAGAAGGAAGTGGGAAGCTTAAAGCATACGCCAGAGCTGAAAACCAATGTAACGTGAAACAGTCAAATGTTTGGACTCCACAGTGCTAAAATTCCACTAGGTGAGAAATGTGGTTAGCCACAGAACCTTACAACAGCAGTATAAGCAGAGAGGGATTTTTCTTCCAACCTTTCTGTATGTTTTATTATTTTTAAATGCACTAGAAAACAGATGAAATAAAGTTGCTGTTTGGTTGTTATAAGAAAAATCTTAATTACTGAAACAGTACAGAACTATGTTGCAAATAGGTAGTTGAGACAGAGGTGAGGCTGTCAGTTTTGACAAGGTGATGCTTTAAGGCTCTTCTGAAGACGGGGGGGGGGGGAAGGCAGTT